ACTTTCTCCCTGCCCCCCATTCCTGCCCAGCCCTTTACATAAAGGAGGGAAAAAAGTTTGCTGTCCTAGTAACAGAAGACAAGATGTGGTGTCAGATATTGACATATATGGTATAACTCTTGACATATATGGAAGCTTTTGTATTATTATTAAGGCATTAAGACATTTGTCTTGCTTTGCCATTCTGCCCTGAGAATCCTTCAGCTGAGGATGTGGTAATCTGTTGATACTAGCTCTGGACTGCATGCTAGGATTCCCTCATGTGGAACCAAATAAATGTTGCCTTAGATGAGCGTTTCTTACTATTACAGTCCTTGCTGATAAGGATTTGTATGCTGAGAGGTGACACAGCAAAAGAGGGTGTGCAGTAGGAAAGCAGTGAATGAGGTCTGAGAAGATTAAACATGCAGTGGCTGTCAAAGGCCCTGTTTGAAGAACTCATGCTGCCATTTTTATCTTTGTTGAACTTGTCTCATAAAGTGCAAGAGCTTCTAACTTAGGTTCCCTTCAGTATTTATGTTTGACCATGACAATCTCCTTAAATTTATGACTTTCTTTTCTAAGTTTCTTATTTTTTTTCTTCTCATTGCATACTTCACAACGTTATTTAAAACCTTAATAAGTTGCTATTTGAACGTGACCCTTGAGATTTGCAGTGAGGCCATCACACTTTTAATACACCTTGAAGCACAAACACATGCTCCCAGATGGAGCTTTCTAACTGGTTGGGTACAAAATGAATTGCTTTCCATTTTACAGTTCTCTCTTTTTCTTTCTCTCTGTCTTTCACGATCTGCTTAGATTGCCACTGAGGAGCCATTGAATCCCATTAAACAAGATATAAAGAAAGGCAAGCTTCGATATGTGGCAAATATCTTTCCTCACAAGGGTTATATATGGAATTATGGTGCCCTCCCTCAGGTAACATTTTTGTTATAATGGTGAAACTTTTCTGTCTTCTGAGTAAATTGCCTTGTAAATCTTGAGTAGTGCCTGAATGCAAATCAGTTGCAATAAGGATGTTTTTGTTTCATAGGTTTGTAAATTAGTTTTTTTTTAAATGTAGAGCTTTATTGTGACCATAAATTTTGATCAGCATTTGGACGTGGGTGTGGATAAGTACTCTGTTTCAGGAAGGAGTTAAATAATCAAGAAACTTTGAAATTTTACTGCCTGCCTCTCTATACTGTAGTGACAGAATTAAATTGCCATGGTCTGCCATTCGAGAATACTTTGTCAAGTAGTGCTTTCCTGTTTAAACAAGACATTCTTAAAAAAAAAAAAAAAGTGCTTCATTTATTGCAGTGTAAATGTTAATTGAGATTTCTTAATATCAAAAAACAAAAATCCAAGAGCTGTTTTTTTCAGATTAAACCCTGACTGCCTCAGTTAACTTCCTTGTGAGCTATGAGACTTTTTTGATTATAACACCTTTAAAACTTTCCACTTGAGCCCTGTGGGGAGGAAAAAAGAAAAGCTCATAGTAGAAGTTTTGAACATACTGAAAGTTTATTAACTTGGTTATTTCATTTCGGTGGATAACACATTGCTGTTAAATTAGTACTATAAAACCTGATGGAGCCAGAAAGAGTAATTTATTGTCTGTACAATGATGGATTATTGCTTATGCAATGAAAGCTTACTTCTGAAAATCTGCTAATGTATTTAATCCCTGAAGGGGGGTTATCAGGTAGGTGGTGAAATATGGCAAAGTTCATATCCAGTCAGCAGTTAGCAGACAAAATTTCTAATTAAAGATTGTTGGAAACCAACAATTCCAATGTTTGGAAGTTTGTTTGCACTTTAATACAAAGCCAAGGTTAAACATTGAAAAGTTTGAATGTGTGAAGTGAGGTAGTTTGGACTGATGACGCTTTCCCCAGGAGGCAGGTTCAACTCCCCCTGTTACCTTGTGAGTCAGCGGGCTGGAGGTAATTTTCATTGTTCTTTTCTCTAATAACTTTAAAAGATCATTTGGATCATTACACCTCCAATTGTTGACGTCTAGACGATGCTCCAGATTCTTATTAACAGCTCTCAGAAATGCTGAGCCTGAGTCGCCATTATTGCAGGATTTGTCATCAAGATCAGCAGATGCCAGAAGTTTAGCTGTATTATATAGCTAAATTTTATCTATTTGTTGCAGATTTTACTGAGGCTGCTGTTTTATGTTGTGGAACAGAGAAGCAAAAAGTATGACTAGACAATAGGACTGTCAATATTTCAGGAGTTGCTGCAGTGTTGTCTGGAGAACGCTACATTCCTAGCTAAGCGTCTGTCTGTCCTTATGAAAGCTACTGTCTTAGGGATCTGCCTCAGTAGGAGGATCGTTAGTTTTCTGGTGCTCATATATCAGTACTTGCCTAAAATGCAGCCTTAAATAAAAAGTGCCCTAGAAGAATATTGAAAACTGAATTTTAAATTTAAATTCTCTTTTGATTCCACTTAAGCAATTATTGATAACTATGTTGCTGCCTAAATACTTTAGTACTTGCTTTTTACAGTTTCACATTTTAATGTTAGTCTGGTTTTCAAGAATGAGATTTAGGTGGAAGCCTAACTGTGGACAACAGGAATTAACAGTAAAGCTCCTCAGAAGTGTATTTCCTAATATGTTTTCAGTGAAACTTCACTGGTATCAAAATTCTTATCAGAGTAACTTCTCAATAAAGTTTTTATCCCAAGCCAATAAGACAAAGTGAATACTGGCCTGGTAATGATTAGACGCTGAAATAGAGCTCAAAGCAGGATTTTGAACCTACATCCAGGAAAAATTATTTAGTCTTGAGCTGCTGTCTGTTTGGAGTATGTGTGCATCTTTGTATTGAAAAATAATTCATAGCTAAATTTCAGAATTTTAAAGAGATAGATGCTTGTAATTGCATATGTAGAAGCTTGGTCAGTTCAAAGCCTAGATGTTTTTGAAAACAACTTCTGTTAGCACAGGTATACCAGAAGAATATACAAAGTACGTTACTGTAGGGTGTCCTAGCTTAATACTGCAAGCAGTAGTAACCAGAGTAATGCATGTTCGGTGTCTTCAGACACCTTGATGACTGCAAATGGATAAAGCTGTGTTTGTAAAATTGTATTTTTTGATGCAGGTGAGACTTTTGTTACTATATTTTTTTATTATTATTCTTTCTCCTTGTAGCAAGGCTTCTCAGAAAGCTGAGTGTGTGTGTGTGTTTTTTTTGTTTGTTTGTTTTGTTTTTTTCTGATGTTTTCATTAATCTTGGTAGTCTAGTGGTTAGAAGAACTGTAGCTATACAATAGTTGCTAACTTATATTTCTCTTTCTTTTAACAGACCTGGGAAGATCCAAACCACACAGATAAGATTACAGGATGTTGTGGGGATAATGATCCTATTGATGTTTGTGAAATAGGTTCAAAGGTTTGTTATCTTCATTGAGATAAATTTATTGAGATTATTTTAATAATTTGGTAACTGCTCTTGGAAGAGCAAGGCAGATGGAAAATAGAAGACAAAATGACAAGAGCAATAATAGAAGATCCATGAGGGAATACATAAGAAAATATGGATTTTTTTTAAGAGAAGAAAAAGTCTGGGATAAGAGGAAAAGTAAGAGAAATTTATCCCAAACTTCTGTAGCTGTAGAGTGAGTTTTATATGAGGAAAGAGAGGGCTGCAATTTTGGAGAAGAAAAAAGAAAACTGTTTTTTTTTTTTTTTTCTCCCCTATCTGTTAGCAGCACTAAAATTAAAAGTAGGTTTCTGGAAGATAAGGTAATAAGACAGCACAATGCATATAAGATTACAAGGGCAAACTTACAGAAGTAGAATTTAGAATTTTCTAATAGGTGCAAATGGAAGTAGGCTCTTTTCCCTAGAGGAAGGGACAAGAGTCTCTTACAGAATTACAGAATATGTAGTGGACGAAAGAAAAGAGATACCAAAAGCACTATTTTGTGTAGGAGAAATAGGAGAGTGATTTAACTCAGTGAAAGAATAAAATCGCAAAATGTGGAGGCAGTAAAGATAGGAGCGTACCTCCCAGTCTACAGAGATGAAATGAATGAGTTTATAGGAAGTATCTCTGGGGCTAGTTTAGGTAAGCTAAGGTGGAAAGGAATCTAAGCTTGAATTTGCAGAGATCCAGAAGCAGTTAAAAGAAGTGTTATCTTTTAGTTATCTTTAGTTATCTTTTAGGACACAGTTACCAGATATCTCCTTTCATGGAGAAGAGGTGCAGTAATGTTTTGGAGAAGACTTCATGTGCATTTGTGTTGGGGTATAGAGGAAGGAAGAGCAAGAGAAAGATGAAGACCAGGAGTTGAGAGAATTAGAAGGTAGGAAAAAGAAATTAGAAAATGAGCAAGAGAAACCTTTGACGTGCGGATTGGGTGAAGATAGAAAAGGTGGGAGAGGAACTAAAGTAGAAAAGATTCTTCTAGTATATATTTTTCTCCTTGAATAAGTGCTTATCAGAGAATTGAGATTTGAATAGAGTGGTGATAGATGAAAGCAACTCTAAATGGTGTGCATTGGGTTTACAGGCATGTTTTGCAGTTCTAACCACTGGTGAAAAAAAGTAAGGAAACCACTTTGTCCCTAAAGCTAAAGAGAAATTCTGAAGTAGGAGAGAAATGTGGCCTTTTCCCAATCTGTGAGATCATGCTCTGTTTCAGGTTCGTTCTTCTGGTGAGATTATTCAGGTGAAAGTCCTGGGAGTTTTAGCTCTTATTGATGAAGGAGAGACAGATTGGAAGATAATTGCTATCAGTGTGGATGATCCAGAAGCCCAGAAAATCCATGGCAAGTATCTTTACCTTTCCTAAAACAGGTTATGTCAGCAACCTGCACAACAGAAGAGCATCTTGCTTTGGAACACCCGGGACAAGAAGAGGCAGACAGCAAGAGACGAGGCTTTTTCTCTTTTCACTGTAGGAACTCAGGGGTCTTCCTCAAGGAGGGCATACGTATTTTAATGTTAAGCTTTTGGAATGATTCACCTGGATTTTCAAGAAGGCCTGTCATGCAGAAAATGTTTTAACTGTTGAAACACAACTGTCTCAAAGTCACTGCTGACAGTTACAAGCTTGAGAGGGTGCATATTTATCCAGTCAGGTGATGTAGTATGCTGCCCATTTTCCTTGTTGAAGATTGCTTTTATTTTTGTAGCATCATCTTGTATTTTGAAATGGACCGAATGTTTTCAGTGTTTTGTCGCATTTTAGCTGGCCTACTTCCAGGGATTGTTGCCTAATATGAATGTTTGCATTTCACTTTTTAAACTGGTAAATTTGCAAAGCAAACTGCTTATGCAGATCACACTAATACCAGCCTTGCATCAGCTGTGAGAGATTGTATTCTGCTTACAGATTGTCCTCTCCGAAGAAAATTCGGACATACTGAGCCTGGAGAGAATAATTATTTTATAGCACAGAAAAGATGCTACTGTTTTCTTGGCAAAAAGAACTTGACTTTCTCAAGGATGAATTCACTGGGAATCATGGGAATTGAACAAGGAAATCTGTGTAAAATTTAATGATTCTTATTGGTCAAAATCTTCTGTAGCCTCAGGTTTGTAAGATGAGGGCCCATTCTTTGCTGCCAGGGAGCATCCATTTTAATAGCTTCTCTGTAAGAATGGGATTAGCTGGTAATTATTGAGGAACTATGTTTCTCAGTCATTAAGGCTTTCTTCTAGTTTCTGAATGTGTAGCAAGTATGTTCCTGGACTGGACCTCCCATTCTCAGTTCTCACAGGTTGCTCGAAAATGGAGATTACTTGATTTGTGAATCAAGAAAGGAGGCAAAGGGAATTCTTGGGGTGATGCTGATTGAAATCACTGCACAGGTGAAAATACTGTGTGCCGTTTGATGCTTTCAGTACTTTGGCAGTAAGAGATTAAGAAGTTCAGTTTAAGAAAATACTAAGTAATAGTTTGCCGTTAGTGCTAGTTAGTACTAGTGTCCTGTTAAACCTCTCCATGATGTATAGTAGGCTGTGCTATAAGTGTCAGTTAAGGCAAGTAATTAGCACTTTGTTTCTACATAGTGTTCTATTCTTTTTACCTCTTTTTTTTTTCTTTAGTAATTTGAGAGACTTTCATCAGAAAACTGTGAGAGGTTAAAAAAAAGGCACAAAACTGGGTTACTTCATGCCACTGAGTTTAGTAGCTCCATTTGAAAGCTCCATGTTTTTCTCAAACAATATTTTTTTTTGATTGCCAATGACCAATTTGTCAGCTATGTCATTTGTTTGGAAATGGAGTAAGAGTTCTTAAAAGTCTTTTAAGAAATATAAGATCTTGCCTGTAGCTGATATCATTGTGCATCCTTTCTCATCAGAGAATAGCTGCAAAACTTGAGAGAGCTGTCCTTTTGGGATTCAGAGAAGTGGAGAAATATCTCTGATTTAATATAATTTCCCTTTGGGGTTGGAATTGCAGTTCAGGATTAAAAAAAAAAAAAAAAAGTGTCCCCCATCTGCTTTCACAAAGCATGCATGTAGCCTGCAGTGTTTAACAGCAATCCTTCTTCATTCTGAAAACAAATAAATCTGTTGGAATATGCAGTACAATATGTCCTTTTATACTTGTTCTTCCCCCTTCCTAGAGATGTTAATTATTTCAGCATAAAGGGATAGCAGCTGCAGATAAAACTGATATCTTGCTTAATAACTGAAATGCTGCCATGTTACAGTAGCGGGCTT